AGAACCCAGGAGTCCTGGCTCCCAGCCCCCCCGCTCTAACCACTAGACCCTGCTCCCTCCCAAAGGTGGCGCTAGAAGCCAGGAGGGAGGCAGTTTGGCCAGCTAGCCAGGTCTGTCAACACTGGCAGTGCCCAGCACCAGCCGCTTCAGAGGAAGGTGGAAAACCAACTCTAGTGGGCAGTGCTGGGAGAACTGGCCCAGGGCACGTTACCTCCAAACCCCCCGGGCCCAGGGCTTGTCTCTTCTTAACCCTCTGTAGTGTCGCTCTGCATGTCCCGTAACCAGCCGCTCCTTGGGTTGGATTCTGCTCAGCTGGGGGGGGGGGGGCTCCCTGACATCCAGTGGCTGTGAGTTCCACAGGCCCATCGCGTAACCAAGTCCTTTCCTTGTATCATTCTAGAAGGGTTTTCCATTCAGCGTCGCCACGCGCCCCTCATCCTTGTGTTGTGGCTCATATCGCAGCCCCTTTCTCTGCCCCATGCCTTAGTCCATCTCCTGCCCTCCCCTCTTCCCCACCTCTGCCCTAAACAGTCACAGGACCATAGGTCTTGCCGGACTGGATCCAATCCCAGGTCCCTCTACTCTGGGAACCCACCTCCAACAGCGGCTGGCTCCAGATGGAGACGCAAAACAGCCTCTTCGACCCTGGTAGCCAGAGCTTCTCTGAGCCTGAAGCATGAGGTTTTTATCTCCCTTCGGAAAAGCGTTAGCATTAGCTGTTGAAACTGGAAATATAGTTGGGATCCATATTCCCGCTTGGAATCTTGTGACGCTCTTGGCCTCAGCGATTTCATGGGGCTGGGAGTTCCGCAGGCTAATCCCGTCTTGTGTGGCGACGTCTTTCCTTTGGAATTTGCCATCTTTTGATTTCACGGACCGTCCCCTTGTTCTTGTGCTCTGAGACGGGGGAAGCAGAAGCCCCCAGCCTCCCAGGCACGACCTATCCTGTGCCCTCTTCTTCGTCCCTGGGCTAAGAGACCAATTGCTGCCTTTGAGAAATGCTCCAATTTGCCCTTGGTGAACTCTGAACCTGCCCTGGGCTGTGGGACATGAGGTGATCCTGACCACACAGCTCGGGGCACCGAGACAGGGCTGCCCCCTTGGTTCGCAGAACATGGGACGATTTTGCCCAGGGTTCATGTCAAGGCTGGCTGCCTTTGAGGGGGAGGGAGGGGGGAGATGAACACAGGTGTCTGGGAGCCCTGCCTGAATCCGGGTCTGAGGGCTAGACTGAGGGTGGAGCTGACAGAGGTCAGTCTGGGCCTGGCCTTGCAGCCAGGGTGGGGCTGGCAGCCCAGAATGCAAGCGCCCAGCCGCACCCCTTGGGCAGAGCAACGCCCGCACCCAGCGGCATCCCGGCAGGTGCAGGGGGGCTGGGAAAGGGCAGGACCAGAGTAAAAATAGCCCCCCCCCAGCTGCTCTGAGCAGTAGGCCCCCAGGGAGACCCAATGCAGCAGGGCAAGGAGTGGGTGTGGAGACCCAGGAGGGCTGGTGTCCCTGGGAGCCAGCTCTGAATGCTGAGGCTGGGGGTGGGGGGCTGCTCGGCTTTGGAGGCAGGGAGAGGGGGGGGCACAGCTAAATAATCTCATGCTTATCTTGTGGACATATGCTGGGGATGGAACCCAGGAGTCCTGGCTCCTAGCCCCCTGCTCTAACCACTAGACCCCACTCCCCTCCCAGAGCTGGGGATAGAACCCAGCGGGTTGAAGGTTCACACCGTAGGCGGCCCCCCCCACGCCTGCTAGAGACAGTTCAGTGCCCCCCTGTGCCCTTCGGGGGAATTGCAGGCTCCCCAGCTCCCTTAAAGCCCTGGCCACCAGCGCTCACTTCCCTGGCCTTGCACCTGCTGCAGACCTACCCCCCCGGCTGAGCGAGCGGCAGTGTGGGGGCAGTGTGGGGGTTTGGGGGAGAAGCAGTGGCATAGCCAGCTTCTAAGAGGAGGGGCAGCAAACATAAAAAAGGCCCCTCCCTTGGCTCCTCCTCGGGCCGCACCGCCACTCCCCCCCATGGCTCCGCTGGTCCTGCCGTGCCACCCCTGTGGCCCCCCCCTCGCTCCTCTGGCAGCGGCTGCCGGTCGCCATGCTGCGCCCTCCCCGCTCCTCCGGCCGCGCCCGCTGCCCCCCCCATGGCTGCCGGCCGTGCTGCGGGCCACCAGCCAGCGCCCCCCCTCGCTCCTCCGGCCGCTTTTGGAAAGGTGCCACTTATGGAATGTGCTGAGGGGAAGCGGCTGCTTCCCCTGCACCCCGCTAGCTACGCTACTGGGGAGAAGGGGGCAGTGTGGGGGAAGGGGACAGTGGGGGGAAGGGACAGTGTGGGGGGAAGGGGGCAGTGTGGGGGAAAGGGACAGTGGAGGAACAGGACAGTGTGGGGGAAGGGGACAGTGGAGGAACGGGCAGTGTGAGGGGAAGGGGGCAGTGTGAGGGGAAGGGGACAGTGGAGGAACGGGCAGTGTGAGAGGAAGGGGAATGTGGAAGAACGGGCAGTGTGAGGGGAAGGGGGCAGTGTGGGCAGAAGGGGGCAGTGGGGGATGGGACAGTATGAGGGGAAGGGGGCAGTGTGGGCAGAAGGGGATGCCATGCAGGGTGTGTGGTTCCCATG